TCCTAGGCTCTTCAACGTCCGTATAAATAATCTTAAAAAATTATTCGATTTATCCTTAAAATTAAAATAATGTCATTTCTCGACCCCTCACATCCTTGATTCATCGATCACATAAAAACATATATCTTGGTTGTATATATTCATAAATCCCGTCTTTGAAATGCAAAAAGTAAAAAAAAAAAAATTGTCTTATAGATACACTTGCAGTGTCAATTTGCAAAATGATCATGAATATCAAAGTAAAATATGAAAAAAAAAACCACTATAGTATATTTGGTAAAATAAAAAATAATTTCTTGCTCGAGTAAATTTTTTTATGTTGAATTTTTTTAATTAGGAATGCGTAGCAACTTTACCTTTATGCGTGTGCTTAGGAGTCGGAAAACAAGGGTTTTCCGAGTCCGCACCACTATGAGAAAAAGAGAGAGAGAGAGAGAGAGAGAGAGAGAGAGAGAGAGAGAGAGACCCATGACCGTCTCTCTTCCTCTCTCTCCCTCTCGACAAAAAATATGGTGGTGTTTCTTCCCATGTTGTAGTCGTTCATTCATTCTCATTGTGCATATTATCCGTTTATCAGAGAGAGAGAGAGAGAGAGAGAGAGAGAGAGAGAGAGAGAGAGAGAGAGAGAAAGAGAGAGAGACCCATGATTGTCGCTCTCCCTTTCTCTCTCTCGCTCTCAAAAAAAAATGTGGTGGTGTTTCTTCCCATGTTATAGCCGGTCATTCATTCTCATTGTGCATACTATCTATTTATCCCTGATTCTCGCAGGTGGACGACATGCAAAATGAAAATGAATCTTTCGCTAAACATGGGAAGATCACCCTTATAAAATGGTGATGTATTTTTCCATCTTCTAGCGGAAGATTGATTTTCATTTTGGATGTCGTCCACCTATTGGGATAGGGGATCAATGGACGACATATGAAACATAAATGAATCTTACGCAATAATATGAAAAGAAACACCTCTATATTTTTTATATACAACAGACAAAAAACATGAAGGTATATCTTCCCAGGTACTATAGGAATATTCATTTTCATTTTGCATGCCATCCACCTGCCGGGATTGATAATATGTGGACACAAAACGAGCAAAATGAGAACGGATCTTTTACTAAACCTTGGGAAGATACACCGCTATATTTATTGTCTTTTGTTCATGTGGTGAGTAGTGGATCGAGATGCATGGGCATCGCCTTTTTTTTTCTTCTCCCTCTCTCTCTCCTTCTCACACACACACACACACACACACACACACACACACACACACACACACACACACACACACACACACACAGGGAGGATGAGAAGATTGAGGTCGGAGATGAAATAACTTATGAAGACGGAGCTTGGGAGCCCAACGTGAAAGTTTCAACTTTCTTTCGCTAACCCTTGAGGAAGATACACCGCCATATTTCTTGTTTTTTACGCATGTGGTGTGACTAGTGGAGCGTGGTCCATGAATATCGTTTTTTTTTCCCCTCTCTCTCTCTCTCACACGCACACACACACAGGTGGAGGAAACCTTGAAGGAATGGCGAGAGAGGAGGAGGTCAAGATTGGAGATGGAGAAACTTACCAGGACGGAGCTTTTGAACCCAACGTGAAAGTTTGAATTTAGAGTCCCAGATTGTCGCGCCTAGGGCTTGGGTATTCTACAAAGTTGTCTGCTAGGTGGGCAGGACAAACCGGGTAAGACACGGTGCAACCAACTGACCTAGCTCAACTGTTACACCGTTGACCTGTTGAAATACACACCTAAGTTCAAACTTCACTGGAAGCAAATAAATAATTAGGGCTCTCATTTTACTTTTCATTTTACTTTTCATTTTACCTTAATTTTACCTCCTCATTTTATATGCACCACGAGGTCAGTAGATGGTGGGTAGGGCTGGGTTTCGGAGGGATTCTCCATCGGTGGCCCCCTCCACACCAGGCCACACCTCAGGGCAGGAAGGGATGTTATAATCCGGACATGGGACGCTGTACCCGGTTTCCAGCACTGTGGTGTCAGACTCAATGGTGAAAAAGAGAAAGATGTATCTAAGGGACGCTGGACCCGGTTTCCAGCAGGTGAGGCTCCCCACCAATAGATGGAGCGGCCCACCAGACAAAGCCTCAATCCCGGTGGTTCTCTTACCACCACTGGGATAGAGGTTTTGCACAGGCCTTAAACCTCCAGTACCTTCGCCAGTGTTAAGAAATTACGATGTCTTGACCAGTACCCGAACTTTTCGGGGTGGGACACCTGATCGGCAATGTCCCATAAATCTGAATTTTATAGTGATGAAAAAAAGGGGAAAAAAAAATGCTTTCTCTACTGCAATGATATCGGGCTGGGTAGTCCAGGAGCCCGTGCTCACAATCTTCCTCCACAGAATGCACCTTACAGGTAAGGCGGTCACATTCTGAATGTTACTGTTTTCTTTTATTGTTGGTCGTGTGTTTTTTATGAGTCCCCTGTCCGTGAATTGCTCAAGCTGTCCATGATCTGCTCAAACTGTGTTTTGTCAGAGGACTGTAAGGCTCATCACACTAGCACTTAGGGAAATGTATCTAGCCATTTTCACGGTCGGATCCATGTGCCCGTTTTTTCCCCCTTGTATTCTCTTTTTGGAATCTGACAACCTGGCCAAGAGGTTGAGATGCCCTCATTGAGGGCACACTCACACTACCACTTCCAAGAATGTATACAACTGCAATCATGGCCAAAACTTTGTTTTCTTTTTTTTTTTATATTCTTTTCTGAGGTTCACGGCCGCAAATTTTCTTCTTCTTTTTTTATTTTTTTTATTCTTTCTGTAAGAGCACCAGAAAGAAAACGAAGTGGTACCCAGGCTTGGCAAAACTCAGAGCGCAGTGAAATTCAGGGTCGGCAAAAACAGGCTCGGAGGTACTGGTGGTTTGAAAAAAAAAAAAGGGCTGGTCAGCTCAATCATGATACCTCAAGGCTGTTGCCCTTTTTGAAAAGCGAGATTTGAGAGGGAAAAAAAAATAAAACTCTTTTGGGACTTCTGTTCAAATTGGAAAGGAAAAGTTTTTAAGCCGTCCCGCCATGAAACCTTTGTATTCATTTCCTCTCAAATGAAGCAAAAAGTGTCGCGGCCCCCAGAACGACTTTTGGCTCCATTTTTGCACCCTGTAAAACACTTCCCTGTCATTTTTGCACAGCGGGCATTATTGGCCCAGCCAGGGTGCAAAAATGATAGCAAAAGTCATTTTGGGGCCTGTGACACTTTTTGCCTTGTTTGGAGGGAAATGAATACAAAGGTTTCGTGACGGGGAGGTTTTATAACTTTTCCCAAATTGGGGCCAAGTCCCACTAGCAGCGTTGAGCTACCTCAACACCCGAATCTGGAAGCTGGACGTGTTTGTGGAGACATGCAGTTCAGGAAACTCGACACCATTTCTGCACATATCGGCAAAAACGTCCAGATTCAGGCGTTGAGGTACCTCAACGCTGCTAGTGGGACGTCGCCCCTGCACAAGGATGAGACACATATATATAGGAAAAAACCAAAAACAAAGAAAAAACAGTGTGCAGGCCCAGGCCCGAACGGAGAGGTGTAGATTGCAATCTTGGCCTCTGCCTGACAGGGCATGTCGGAAATTACGTAGGCCAAAAGAGCGTTCTGCTCTACCTACATCTTTTCGGGGCAATTTCGCATGTATCTCGACTTTGAGGGGTATAACGCAAAGTTTACCTTTATTCTTTTTTCCTTTTCTTTTCTTTTTGATGGAAATTTCAGAGGGGACGAACGTGGACGCATCAGCAAAACAGCTGTTCGATCGGACGTTAACCATTCCATCTAACGGTCCCGTCTACAAAGCTTTCTCAGAGGGCAGGGGAACCAAGGGCCTCGCTGCACTACCCTGTACTCTCGACATGCACAAACAATAAAAATATTGGCGGTGTATCTTTCCATATTCTAGCAGAAGATTCGCTCTCGTTTTGCACATTTCGAGAGTAGTGCAGCGAGGCCCCAACTCAGCGGTAACAGGTTTACCCAAAGCTGCCATTTTGTTCCGTAGACCAGACCCGGGATCGAGTCCCACTTGCATAACGTCCGCTGATAAGATCGACGGTCTGGATCTCTTAGACCGTCAGAGTGGGACCTGGCCAGAGGATTCGCGAGCTTGGGGGAGAGGACTGTAGCGGCTCGATTTTCCTGCGCGCACGTGATCGGGAAATGGTCTAGATTCATCATTTGAAACTCCTATACCCTACCCTAAACTCTGCAGCAGGAAGGCAGGACTTGTCGGGTGGGGTGTGGGGGGTAACAAATCAGGTGCTCCGGCACATGATGCTTCTTTTCGGGGGCAAGGTCCCACTTGCATGGATTACGAGAAACTGGCCGTTGATCTTTGTTATCTACGGTCAATCTCGCTTAATTCGTGCAAGCGGGACCTACCATCCTCCCCCGAACATAACGCACCCTGAAAATGAATGTATACAAGCTATATTTCCGGCCAGGTTATAGACAAAATAAGGGTGCGTGGTGTTCGGGGGAAGACAGTAGCCCCGGGAAGCTCAAGCGCCACACGGGATGATGGATCGTTGTTGGGCCGTGTCGGGGGGGTGTTTTGGGGTCGGCCGGCGGCGGGCGAGCACTAGGCACACACTCTCACACCCGGACTTCGCCGACTGACCTCTGCACGCAGTTGCCGTCAGATGCATCCGTCCTGGCCGTAATTGCGGTCAGGTTCATTCGAAAGGTGCTCGTGTGAGTATACCCTAAGCATGGTTTGGTTGATTGACACCATAGCCGCCAGGGGCCTCAACGCACGGACAGATGTTGATCCGCCGTCATGAGCATCCATTTCGTGCAATTTGGTGCAATTTGGTGTTGCTAGCGGCCTCCGGCGGCGGGCCGTGTGTAGCTGACTGTTCGGACTGGAAAGGAGGGGAGGGGGGAGCGGGGTTGGGGGGTGTTATCGCCGTGCTGGTTTCCCGACCTACCGGTAGCTGGTGCTGCAGGACTGGGGTTGAGTTTGAACTGGGGGAAAAGACAGGAGGGTTTTGTGGGTGGTACTTCCCTCCGCTCTCTCTCTCTTCTGCTTGTGTCGTGGGAGCCATTGTGGTGAACGGAGATCGAGAGAGGAGGAGGAGCAGGAAAAGGCACACCTGCTGACGACGGTGATCCGGGTGGGTGCGAGATTTGCAGTTCGGCTTGTTGAAGATCGTGTGAGCTGATCGTTGCGTCGCGGCGATGGAGAACAAAGATAGCGAGAAGAAGAAGAAGAAAAGAGAGAAAGGTGAGGAAGGAGGAGGAGGAGCCGTTGTGGCTATGGATGTGGATGGGAGACAGGATGTGGCCGGTGTTATCGCGTCCATTCAGTCCGCTACCGAATTCTTCATCAAGCCTAGCCCGACCCCGACGCTCGACACGTCGAAATGGCCGATCTTGCTGAAGAATTACGACAAACTGAATGTCCGTACAGGTCATTACACCCCGATCCCGACGGGCCACTCTCCGCTGAAGAGGCCGCTGTACGACTATGTCCGCTATGGCGTTATCAATCTCGACAAGCCGGCCAATCCGTCTTCCCACGAGGTGGTGGCCTGGATCCGACGTATTCTGAGAGTAGACAAGACGGGACACAGCGGCACGCTCGATCCCAAGGTCACTGGAAGCTTGGTCGTTTGCGTTGACCGAGCGACAAGGCTGGTCAAGGCTCAGCAAGGGGCGGGGAAGGAGTACGTATGCGTAGCCAGGCTGCACAGCGAAATCGACGGCGTGCAGAAGGTAGCGAGAGCCATCGAGACCTTAACGGGAGCGCTGTTTCAGCGCCCACCGTTGATCTCCGCCGTCAAACGACAGCTCAGGATCCGCACGATCTACCAGAGCAAGCTGCTGGAGTACGATCAAGCGCGGCACTTAGTCGTTTTCTGGGTGTCCTGTGAGGCGGGGACGTACATACGAACGCTCTGTGTGCATTTAGGTCTTCTGCTTGGCGTCGGCGGGCATATGCAGGAGCTCCGGCGCGTGAGAACGGGGATCTTAGGCGAAAATGACAACCTTGTGACTATGCATGATATCCTGGATGCTCAATGGACGTACGACAACTATAAGGACGAATCCTATTTGAGAAGGGCAATTATGCCCCTTGAGGTGTTGCTGACAAGCTATAAGCGCATTGTGGTGAAAGATAGTGCTGTGAACGCCATCTGTTATGGGGCTAAGCTCATGATTCCCGGCTTGTTGAGGTATGAGTCGGGCATAGAGGTAGGGGAGGAGGTTGTGATGATGACCACCAAGGGAGAGGCCGTCGCTTTGGGAATCGCCCAGATGACGACGGCGGTGATGGCCACGTGTGATCACGGGGTCGTGGCGAAGATCAAGCGCGTGGTGATGGAACGGGATACCTACCCGCGGCGATGGGGTCTGGGGCCGACGTCGATGAAGAAGAAGCAGATGATCTCGGAGGGGTTGTTGGACAAATACGGAAAGCCGAACGAGAAGACGCCGAAAGAATGGTTACGAAATGTTGTTGACGTCAGTTCTGTGCCAGTTGGCGGGCTGTCGGAACTGGAGCGGATTGCCGCGGAGGCGGCGGGGGGAGGACACGTGGTGTCTCCGACGGCGGTGGTAGAGAAGGTTAAGGTCAAGGAAGAAGCAGACTATGAAATGGGGGAGGGGAAGAAGGAGAAGAAGAAGAAGAAGAAGGAGGAGGAGGAGGAGGAGAATTGCCCGAAGATGGAGGACGAGGAAGACGGGGATAGAAAGAAGAAAAAGAAGGAAAAGAAACCAAAGGAGGAGGACGATGAAGTGGATGTTAGCGACGAGGAGGATAAGAAGAAGAAGAAGAAGAAGAAGAAGAAGAACAAGGGAGAAGAAGATGGACAAGAGGAGGCTCAGGAGAGGGAAGGAAAGCGGAAGAAGGATAGGGGATCGAGTCCCGCAGCCAGCGACGGAGAGACGGTTCAGCCAAAGAAGAAGAAAAAGAAGAAGACGAAGGGAGATCAGGAAGAGGAGGACTAGTGGAGAGTAGTTGAACCGTCTTCAGATTTAGGGAGAGAGAGAGAGAGAGAGAGAGAGCGGGGGGGAAGGGGAGGGTTCAGTGGGAGGAAGATAGAGTTGGAAGCAAGCGACGGATGATGTCAAACTCCACCTTCCTCCCTCCTCCTTCCTCCTTCCACCTCCCTCCTCTCGTCTCGTAGCTGGGATAAATAGAAGAGGTAGCTGGTCGTGGCAAATCTGACATTTGCTGCGCGTGATTGCGGTCGTCCGCCGCCGCCGCCGCCGCCCGTCGCCGATGCCTAATCAAAGCGCGCCGAAGAGGGATGAGCTTTGTCCACGTCAGCAGCGTGATCGTCCGCCTACATGCAGGCATAGTAGGAGAACAAATACCAAATGACGAAGATTAGGTCGTGAACAACTAGCAGATCCTCAAGGTCTGAAGGCCTTAATTAACTGACGAAAAGCAGAAGAGACGGTGTAACAGAGGGTGGGAGAGAAGCAAAAAGAGTGGTGGGGTGTGTGATCTCTCGCATCAAGGGTTGCGCAGCTGGGAAGGGTGAGTTTTCTCATGCAGAGGAGGCTTTGTCATACTCGCCGGTGTTCGTTTCCGGTTCACACACACACACACAGAGAGAGAGAGAGAGAGAGAGAGAGAGAGAGAGAGAGAGAGAGAGAGAGAGAGAGAGAGAGAGAGAGAGAGAGAGGCGTGTTCCTTTCGTGACAAGCAGTAGGGATGGACGGCGAGATGAGTAAGCACGGGCTCTTCGTCGAGATGTTTGTTGAAATAGGGCTGCTGCTGCTGCTATTGATTTTTTGGCAAGCTCAATTGGTAATCATGTAAGGCGGATTTTGCGGTTCTTCCATCTTCAAGAAACGTGGAGTTGAAGGACGTTCTACTGATTCATGGTTTTGTAAGAAGACGATTGCTGGCATATTCTCTGCAGGTCTCCCTGCTCGCCGTCCTTAAAAGTTTTGGCCTTTGCTGTGTCACTACGGATGTACAATTCAACGTGGAGTCTGCGGGAGATGCGCACTGCAGATCCTCCTTGAGACTCTGCTTCCACACGGAGAGAGAGAGCGAGAGAGTGTAGGTGAGAGAGAGCAGGTGAGACAGTGTGTGTATGTGGGAGAGAGAGAGAGAGAGAGAGAGAGAGAGAGAGAGAGAGAGAGACAGAGAGAGAGAGAGAGAGGTATATAGCATTGGGAGAAGGGAGGTGAGGACGTTGTTTTGCGAGAGCCTGTAGAGACGACGATGGCCGGTTGGATTGACAGACGACGCTATAGGCTTGGTTTGAGAGCCTGTAGAGACGAGCCTGTAGGAGAGAGACGACGCTATATGCCTGGGTTGAGAGGAGGTGAACTGAGCGTTGTGAGTGCTTGACATGTAGGTGCAGCATTTTTGTACGTCTCGCAGATTTCTGTTGTTTTTCTTGTTTTATTTTTAAAAATGTCAAAAATGTGTTTTCACTTCTTCCTAATTGGGACGTTTCGTCGTCCTGTATGCCCTACGTTTTCTCGACATCCTTTTTTCCCCTCTTGTGTGAATACACCTCATCCTCTTTTTTCTTTCCTCCATCTAATCCTTCTCTCTCTCTCTCTCTCTCTCTTTTCCGCACTTGCTATATAGTCCGTCCTTCCTTTTTTTTTTTGGGTTCCGAAGGCCTCCCATTTCTACCTGCGTGTGATTTTTTTTTTTTTTTTTTTTTTTTTGGTAGGGTGATCACAACTGTCTATATTCTTCTCTCCACCTCTATTTGTTTTACCTTCCACTTACCTACTCCTAAGACTATCTAGAGAGGACCCCTGCAAGCATAGTTTTCCTCTCTCTGTGAAGGGGAGATTTCATGTTGCCCCTTGCCCCTAATGGTTAGGGTATAGGGTTGGGGCCGCCAGTGGGGGTCTGGCTAACACAAAGACCGAGACCTGCCAGTAGCTGTGCCTCCCTTTCTCATCGTCCCCCACCCTTCATCGAGTAGCAGCAGAG